AATCATCAAAATTCTATTCTGGAGTCGTTTTCTCAAAATATTGACCGAAGTCAAACTTAGCACTTTAAGGCCAACTTAAGGAACCAAGTGTTCCGGTTTCACCTCAAACACTTCCAAATTCCGAACCAACCATCCCCGCAAGTCATAAATCATTACAAGTACCTACGGAAAGTTTTATTTTAGGGAACGGGGTTCTAAAAGTTAAAATAACCGGTTGGGTCATTACAAGTTAGTAGGCGTGCTTTAACTTCACGGAATCGCTAGTGTAGCGTGATGTTTAACATTCAATAAATTAATTCAATAATCTCATGCCATACCCATTAGTTTTTAGTTAATTTTTAATTTAATTAATCCTTTGCTAAAATCGCGGGTTCGCTTTCGTAGTGCGATAGTTGATTTTTAATAATTTTCAAGAATTAATATTTTTAGATGTAGTAATTTCTCGAAAGTACCACAAATAATTTATTGTCATGATTTTGGATTTGCTTATGAGGCGCAATTATGATGAGTTAATTAAATTTTTTTTTCGATCACGCATTCGCTTGCGTAGCGTGGTTATGACAGTGTAATATTATCCAAATTATTTTTTTCTAATACTCAAGATATAGAAGTGGATAGGTGAAACATAAAAATCATATAAATTACAGTTTTGTCCAAAATTAAGTCAAGCCAAATATAGTTGATAAAGCGCCCGTGCTAGAACCACGGGACTCAGGGAATGCCTTACACCTTCTCCCCGGTCAACAGAATTTCTTACCCGGACTTGTTTTCGCAGACCAATAATAATAGAGTCAAACCTTCCTTTGACTATGGATTCAAATAAAAGGTGACTTGGAACACCCAAAAACTCAATTTCAAGTGAAGACTCTGTAAATAAAATAATCCCTATTCAAGTTTGTCACTTTAATTGAAAAAACTCTTTAACTCACAACAATTCATATACATATCTTTTGTGGGGTAAAAAAGGGGTGTGACAGGTACCGACCGTGGTGTACTCATACTACACTTTTGCATATTTTTGTGCAGAGCCAGGTATTGGAGATATCGAACTCGGACAGAGTTAAAGTGTGATCGCAAGGATTAAAGGTAGAGTTACTTGGTCTTCGCAATCTCTTGGAGTCTTTTCATTTTATTGTACTGTAAATTATTAATCAAACAGTATTGAATATTCGATCCTTGAGATCATTTCATGTATTTTGTTAGAGTTCGTGACTCAGTATTACCAATCTTGGGAGGTTTTTATATTTGTTTCCGCTTTTGGTTTCGATCATCTATAAAAAAATAAAAAAAAATTGGCTTGAACTGTAATTGTAATCGGCTTACTTAGTCTTAGAGACTAAGTGCCATCACGACGCCTGTGGTGAGATTTTGGGTCGTGACAGAAAGAATTATATTTGAAAGGTTTTATTCGAAGAATTATATTCGAATTATATTTATTTGAGAAATTATATTCGAAAGATATTTATTTGAAGAATTATATTCGAAAGATATTTTATTTGAAAGAATTATATTCGTAAGATATTTATTTGAAAGGATTATATTCTAAAGTTTTCTATTCGAAAAACTTGTAGATAAAAGATGTATATTTGGAAGGACTTGATTAATTATTTGTGCTTGTGTTCATTATTCGTTTGGGAAATATCTATGGTGTTCTTGATGCCTTACTGTTTATATCACTAGTTGATTATTATTTCTATCACTGTTATTTATCTTTCTATTATTTTTGTATGTTATATTGCGTAGGTTATTTGACTAGAGACTGTCTTGACTGTACCTCGTCACTACTCCACCGAGGTTAGTCTTGATACTTACCGGATACCGACTATGGTATACTCATACTACACTTTCGCACATGTTTGTGCAGAGCCAGGTATTTGGAGATATCGGATTCGGGCAGAGATTAGAGTGTGTTCGCAAGGATTCAAGGTAGGGCTGCTTGGTTGTCGCAGTCCCTTTGAGTCTTTCTATTTTATTATACTGTCAACTCTAATTCGAACAGTATTGTATATTCGATCCTTGATATCATTGCATGTATTCAGTTAGAATTCGTGACTCGGTATTACCAGTCTTGGGAGGTTGTTTGAATATTTTCGTTGTTGGTTTTTGATACTTGTATTGAATTTTAAAAAAAAGGAGGGGGGGAGTGGGGGGGAGGGAGGTTTGAATTGTTATTATAATCGGCTTACCTAGTCTTAGAGACTAAGTGCTATCACGATACCTGTGGTGAAATTTTAAATCGTGAGAACATAATTGCTCTATTTCCAATAGTTTAGGGGCAATTTTTCCCCTTTTCCGTTTATACTATTAGAATAGGTTTATTGGCAAAATAACTTATATGCTAGATTGTGAGAGAGTGCATCAGTAAGCTTCTCAAGCTTGTACCTTTTAGATATAGGATTTGATTTCTCTCCGCTTCTTCTTTTTGTCATTTTCCTTCTCTTAACTTAAATAACAAAAGAACAACAAGTTTCGTACATTACTTTAAGAAGACAACAATTTGGGCGCTGTTTAAGTAGTGGCTTATCATATTTAGCATTTCCTCTTCAAACTTTAATCATTCTGATCTCTGAAAGCGAAAACAGATTTTGAAAAGGCAACTTTAAATAACTCTCGACGTCTCATTTTATATGATATTAGTATTTGATTGAATACAAAGCTTGAAAAATTAAAAAGAAAACTTTTGAAATATAAGTCAAATATATATAAAATATTATATAAATATTAAAATTAAATAATTCCTTAAAAACAATGAGGTGTCTATCTTTTTTGAATTTCTGGTGTTAGTATTTGGAGTTGGATGCCTTGTTATGACTAATGTTGAGTGAGTTTTTGAAGTTAAAGCTGTGGCATCCACTTCTCCAATTTGATGTAATTGTCAAACTTATGACTTGCTGAATTATATAGTTGTTCATTTACTATTTTTTTCTGTTGCCCAGTTTTAGGTTGCACGATTTTAGTAAATTAATCGATGTCCTGAAGCAGACTTTGTGATTGTTGTTGTGTTTATTACTGCCATTGTGTCTGCTTGAAGGAGCTCATTTTGAGCAGACCACAGATATGCTTGAAGACCACCTATGTCTTCTGTTCGAATTGGGATGGTTGTTTGTTAGCATTTGGTTAACAATGTCATCAGAAATAAATTGCCATAATCATTAACTTAAAAATGTCATTACAATAAAAATCCAACTATTATACATCTAAGACTAACTACCAATATTCATGGAAACTGTATATACAACATTCCCTTCTACAAAAATATTTCAACATAATTTCACTTTATTATAGAGGATAATGCAAATCCAACTATTAGCGAGCATAAAATTGTGATGATCATCTTCAACTTCACCACTTTTGCTTCCAATTCCATATTTCTTTTAACTTCAAAATTCTTCATAGCCTCTATGAGTTCAATCTTTTCAGTCAGCCCGTCTCTTTCAACCTTAAAAACTTCCAAAGAAATATTTAATATCTTAATCTTGCGATTTGTAGCTTCTAATCTTACATTGTTAATTGCAATTAACGCATCATCAGAAAACTCTTCATCATGCCATTCCCAAAACCCACATCCTTCACTCTACACAAACCATAACAAAATAAATTCAACGATTAAACACTATAAAGTTAGGAATTTTAACAGAAATTGAAATAGAGAAAATAAAAAATACCTCAGGTTTAGGACATTTGTAAAATCTTCTACCGGGATTTAAGAGAGTTTTTGAAGTAAAGTGATTAGCAACTTCCCCACAACGGCAGATCCTCTTCGACGAACATCTATTTTCCGACATCGTAAAGCAATTTCCGACCAGTTGAATACTAAACAAGGGAACGACGAAAAAATCCTAGAATTTTGATGTTTTGTTTGTGTTTTTATGGTGGATTTCTTATTTATGGGTTTATTTAATCGGGCGGGGCAAGGGAATTGGGACGAGTTGGGTTTATTTAGTAAAGTGGAGTGTCTTGGTCTTTCAGAGAGTGTCATGTGTCCCAGCCATTAAAATAAGGATAAATATACTATTTTGTTGGACGGTAAGGGGTTTTAGGGACGGAAAGTATAACGGGGGACGATATTGAACAATATACCATAATAGAGGGGCATATCAGGCCCTTTTCCGTAAAATATAATATAAATTTCCTTTTGCTGCAAAATTATCTTCAATTTATTCATTTAGGTGAGAATTCATTTGCCTAGGATTTTCATTATATAAGAGGTTTAAATATTTTTAATAAAATAATGATAATACCATCATATGTAAAAATACCCTCCGTTTGTTATTGACATTGGGCACAAAAATGCCCTCACCGTTAGTCAAGTGGAGCACATATACCCCTCTCCACTAACAAATTAGCTATAGATTCACTTTCAAAAGTATTTCCTTTGCTGATTTGGAGCTCCCGCTTGGAAAACAATACCCTCCATATAATTTCTTAATTCTCCAATATCAAGAACATCTGACTCGACAATGTTTATGGAAGTTTGATGGGATAATAATGAATAAACAAATATGAGAACAATGAGGAGCATAATTGATTCTTTGATAGGATTTGTTCATTAAGGCATTTTTATCCGCTGATTATTGAAAATGGGAAAAGACATCGGTAATTTAGATTTCATTAATTTTCTTTGATGAAAAGATACAACCAAATCTGATGTGGAACTCCAACTCAGCAAAAAAGCTCTTTTTAAAGTGAATTTATAGTTGATGTGGAGTTTATTAGTGGGGAGGGGTATATATGCTCCACTTGACTAACAGTAAGAGTATTTTTGTGACCAATAACAAATGAAGAGCACAATTACTCTATTTCCAATAGGTTAGGGGCTATTTTGGCCCTTTTCCGTTTATACTATTAGAATAGGTTTATTGGCAAAAACACTTATATGCTAGATTGTGAGAGAGTTCATCAGTAAGCTTCTCAAGCTTGTACCTTTGAGATATAGGATTTGATTTCTCTCAGCATCTTCTTTTTGTCATTTACCTTTTCTTATTCGCGAGTCTATTTTCCACTTCACCCCAAAAAATAACTTAAATAACAAAAGAACAACAAGTTTCGTACATTACTTTTAGAAGACAACAATTTGGGCGCTGTTTAAATAGTGGCTTATCATATTTAGCATTTCCTCTTCAAACTTTAATCATTCTGATCTCTGAAAGCGAAAACAGATTTTGAAAAGGCAACTTTAATTTGTCTAGAGTTTGTCTTAATTTTCTTATCATATATGATTTTCCTATCTTTTGAAAGAAAAAGTAACATATTTACCATAATTAAGTTTTTTATTTTTTAGAAGAAAATTATAAATCTTCCATATTTGCCTAGTCCCTTTTCTTGTAGAGAAATGTTTGGACTTCTATAAATTGAGGATCCTTCATTCTCATTCGATAGCATCCACAATGTAGCCATATGGTGTTTGAGAGTCTTGCTTAGGGGGAAAACTTTACGGGACAAGTGGTAGTGTGTCACTTGTGTTTCCCTCTTCGTGAGATTGTTCTCTCGATATGTTGTACTCTCTTTTATATAGTGGATTACTCATTCTGCCGTTGACGTAGGTCGATTGAACGAACCACATTAAATGTTTGTCTCTTTTGGTATATTTCTCTTTTGTTTTCTGATTTATCGTCGTTCAAGATTTGCTTTACTAGCTTCCGCATGACACCTGGTTATTTCGGTCATAACAAGTGGTATTAGAGCCCAGGTTCGGCGGGACAAATATGGAGATGGTAACGAGAAGAAGCTAGTTACGGGTTTCGGTTGCCATAATACTCTAACAATGTGGGTGGCACATAGTGAATCTCAAAAAAAGACCCGTGGATCGTGAAAAGGGTCACATGGATCTTAGTTCGAAGGGGAAACCCGTGAATCGTGGTAGTGAGCTATGTGAAACTTAGTTCGAGAGGAAAATTGTTAGGTGTGCGAACAAAGTCCCACATTGATAGCTGAAAAAATTGGGAGCCTATATATAAGGTATAATGATCTTTTAATGATATGATACCTTTTAGGAAAAACTGTGCGGGCTTGGCCCAAACGGACAATATCACACCATGTTAAGAGTGTATGTCTAGTTTAGCCCAACAAGTGGTGTCAAAGCGAGGTTAAAGACAGATTCATCTTGGCGAATTTAGTTCTAGTCGCAACCTGTTTGATGGTAATCATGATTTTTGTCTGGAAAATTTGACCGGAGTGCTACTCACTTTGAGATAAATTTTGCGGTGGAGATTTAGAGATGCGACCTATTGAAGGTTATGTGAAGAAGGTGGATCAAGTTTATTTTGTCAGAAATTTAAGCCAAGGGGGAGAATTGTTAGGTGGTTGTCCTAATTTTCTTATCATATATGGTTTTTCTATCTTTTGAAAGAAAATGCAACATATTTACCATAATTGAGTTTTTCATTTTTTAGAAGAAAATTATAAATATCCCATATTTGGCTAGTCTCTTTTCTTGTAGGGAATAGTTTGGACTTCTATAAATTGAGGATCCTTCATTCTCATTCGATAGCATCCACAGTGTAGCCATATGGTGTTTGAGAGTATTGCTTAGGGGGAGAACTTTACGGGACAAGTGGTAGTGTGTCACTTGTATTTGCCTCTTCGTGAGGTTGTTCTCTCGATATGTTGTACTCTCTTTTATATAGTGTATTACTCATCTCCGCCGTGGACGTAGATCAATTGACTGAACCACGTTAAATATTTGTGTCTCTTTTGATATATTTCTCTTTTGTTTTCTGATTTATCGTCGTTCAAGGTTTTCTTTACTAGTTTATGCATGACACCTCATTATTTCGGTCCTAATATAAATAACTCTCGGCGTCTCATTTTATAGGATATTAGTATTTGATTGAATAATTAAAAAGAAAACTTTCAAAATATAAGTCAAATATATAAAAAAAAAATATTATTGAAATACTAAAATTAAATAATTCCTTAAAAATGAGGTATCTGTTATAAGAAAAATCAAATTATGGTGGATTTCTACTCTTCCTCCATGATCTTCTCAAATGCTTAATGACATATTCAATGACATATTTCTATGCTTAATGACATATTCAATGACATATTTTTCTTCACTTTTCATGCCTATATAAAGGTCTTGTAATAGATAGAAAAATACACACAATTGAAGAAGAAAATCTAATCCTTCTCTCTATCTCCATTTCTTGTTCATGTTATACTAAATTACTTTTATTTCATAACAACATGTCTTGTTCATGTTTTACTAAGTTGCTTTTATTTTATAACACGTTATCAGCACGATTTGCTATTTTATCTACACTTCCTACAAGAGATAACAGAATTGTAGACTTAGCTTCATTGAGGTCTTGACTTTTGTTAGTGTGTTATATAGAGTTCATCCTTCAATAGTTTTCATGTTTAGGGACTTTTCTTATACCACACTTATATGGCCGTCAAACAGTAAGAATTGCCCTCTACGATCATTCTAAGCATACAAACAAGGTATGCACATTTCTAATAAATAAGTCAGATGAGGTATATACACCTAGTATAAATTATAATTATGGTTTATAATTAGTATGCTTCTTCTGTCATGTTCTCACCTTTAACTCCCGTTTTAGTTACTTGGTGATACATGATGGTGGAAAGATCAACATACCAAGTAATTTTTCTAGAATTAATACTTTTCAATTGGACAATATCAGTTGATTGACTAGCTATATTTACTACGAAATCATGCTTGTATTTTAAAACCAATTCATTAAAGTGTGTTAGGTTGTCGCTTACATGATGATATCCTCGTAATAATTTAAATATATTTTCTATAATTTTATATAGTTTAGATAAATTGATCCTCTCTAAAAGGTTTTGTTAAGTTAGGCACCTATTTAACATAAAAACTATAGCTTTTATTGTTTGGGTGGTTTCTCTGCAGAAAGTATTGGATTACTTTATTTCACCAAACTTATTAAACACAGCAATCAAAATACAACACATGTAATTTGGTTTCTATTTGAGCTAATGTCATCTCGCGGAATTGTTCATATGGTAATTAAATACATGTGCTTCACACTTGTAATATGAGGTTGTATTTATTCTTTCACCAACTAATTTTATAAGTTTCTTTTAGTATGCAAAATATTTGAGCATATCACATGTACGCAACCCATTCATACTTTCATATCTTTGCATTAACTTTATGTGCAGTGTTTAGTAAAAATATTTTTTTCAATTGTATCTAGTGAAATAAAGAACTGGAAAGGCTTGTCTTTATTTGCTACATCTCTTATATGACAAAGATAATATTCCAACGTATATATATGTTCTGACCTTTTACATACTATGATAGATAATTATTAAGGTAATTTAGTAATAATATTTTTACCATAACATGATGTATTTCATTGAAAGCAAAATTGGCATATATCCTAACTAGCATTTTTGTTGCAGAGGAACTGTTTCAAGATTGAAATA